GTGTTCTCTCTTCTCTCCTGCGCCGCCTCCGCAATGGGGCTGTCAGCCCGTCTACGTACGAACGCTGGTGTTGCGGGCGTGAGGGAGCCAAGCTGCTTCTGTGGTGGGATCCGCCACCGGGACCGCTGTGGAGTGTCGAGGAATACGAGATTCTATACTACCCGAGCAGTAACCCTGGCAACGCCAGCAGCGTTACTGTCAGGGGAAAGAACTACACGTTCGACGCGCTACCGCCCAACACAGAGTACGGATTCAAGGTAAGAATAAAAGTATAACTATATACTTTCGAAATAACATATAACAATAATAAGCTATGAAAGGCTATGAAATAATTAAAAAATAAAAATAAAGTAAGTAATAGTAAGAAAAACATTTAAGGGTAAAAGTAAAAGTATTAAAAAATTTAAAGGAACAAATAAAAAAATAGAATAAAGTACGAATAAAGGGAGGAGCGGTGACGGGCTGGTGCGGGCGTGGGGTGTAGGATGGCGAGGGGCAGGTGGAAATCCGATGTTAGTCCACGCGAGTTGGTGACGGTCGGGATCACGTCGGGTTCATTTATCATCCATTGACATATTCGCCCATGCGTCATCATGACGCCTTCACCGGTTCGTAGTGCAAGTCAAGTGTAGGGTTAGGGTGGTCTGATCAAGGGGTGGGTGGAGGTCGCATCCAGGTTACACTATGGTGTTCAGGTTGAGGGATAAATAGTTATGGTGCAGGTTCGCGGCGCGTTGTAAATCATGAAACCTATGCGGTAAAATCTTCCCGATACATTCTCGTATTTAATGTTCGCGATTAATATATTTCGTAAGGAATTTTTTCCCGATAAACATAAAACTAAAATGTTTGTTGCTGCTGGGAATGTGGTGCGGTGCGTGATGATGTGGGCGTGATTAGGGGATGTGGGGATGTGGTGGGGATGTAGGGTGGGGGATGTGTGGTGTGGTGCATGATTGCGATGTTCGTCGTCTTGGCGGCTAGGTGCGAAAGCGAATGATGCGCGCGACGGCTGGGGCGACTACACCGCCAGCATGTACGAGCGGACGTGGGGTCCGGGAGAGGAGGAGACACAGATGGGAGTGATCGCTGGTGCCGCAGCAGCCTGCGTCATCTGTCTCCTCTGCGTCGTCCTCTGCGTCGTCGTCATCGTCAAGAGGTGGGTGACCGGGACGCGAAATTTTTTTTTCCCATTTGAGTTCCGGACCACCTAGATAGGTTTTGTAATATATGCTCTCCTATATATATTGGTTGGTTATAGTTAGTGTTAGCGTTAGCGGTTAGTAATAGTTGGTATTCATTTTACCATTGGTTGCTTCGGCGGAGGACGGTGAATGGAGTGCGCCTATTGGCCTGTGGTCGGAATCGTACCGGGAAAAGTTGCTGGAAAAAATTCGGCCCGACGGGGCCACGGCCTACGCAGGCGCACGCCGCACGCGCACGCCACACAAACACACACGCACACACTATTGCGCATATACACGCGCACAACACACACGCATGTTAACATACGCACACAGATGCACACACAAGCATACAGCTCATTTACACATCATCATGAGAATTTAATGCATGTAGACTGTTAGACTGTATTCACTGTATACAGTATTCGCCGTTAGTTGATGCTGGTGGTAAATGTCTCCATGCCCCACGACAGGTGGCGCCAGCTGTAGCTGAGCGTGTGACAAGCCACATGCAATAATACGTCTGTCAACCCACCCTGCAATATAGGCAAGAGGCGTGACAATTTCAAATGTCATCCATGAATGTGATGTGATAGGAGTGTAGCAGCTTGGTGGGGTGGCGGCAGGGTGCTGGTGTATGATGTATATATTGTAGCAGCTATAGTGTATTAGCTGTTGTATGTGTATATAGGTATTGCGTGGTGATTGCTGGAGTAGCGTTGCTCTATACTCGGCTTCTATATACCTGTCTTACGGAACATGACCGTTGTCAATATGAGAAATGTAACATAGCAACTAGCATGCAAGGGCGTTATTCCCCTACCGTCTTCTTTCTTCTTCTTTGCCCTTCTTTGTCTTTCTCCTCCTCCTCTTTCTCTTTCTTTTCTTCTCTCTCTCTCTCTTCTCCTCCCTTTCTCTCTTTCACTCATCTCTCTTCTCTCATCGCTCTCTGTCTTTCTTTCTCTCTCGTCTCTCTCTCTCTCTCTCTTCTCTCTCTCTCTCTCTCTCTCTCTCTCTCTTGTATTTATCTCTATCTCTCTCTCTCTCTCTCTCTCTCTCTCTCTCTCTCTCTCTCTCTCTCTCTCTCTCTCTCTCTCTCTCTCTCTCTCTCGCTGTCTATCTATATCTTGTTAATCTTGATAGTTTAACTATAGACTTCATGTAGCTACTACTATAGAACCTAATCGCTTTACATCTCTGCTCATTGCAGGAACAGTAAGAAGTGCAAGCAGGCCAAAACTGCTCAGTGTGATAATCTTGACTACCGCAACGGCGAAGGTAAGCGCTCGTAGCGCCATCTATTGGACCAAATCGATACAAACGATATAATGTCTAATCCACGTACTAATATCTAACCGTATTAACCGAGTTATTAGACAGTAGATATCAGTGAATCTTTGTCGCTGTCTAGCGGCTGTATTCCCTGTGCACGATGATCATGTATTATTTATCTATGCTAGCACGCGGTGATGGTCGAATGTCTAATCATGTCTCGTGCACATTCATGTACGTTGCCGCGCGTGACCAACCTGTACCTACAAGGCAGATCGCATCTTGAGAGTTTCACTAGCAGCACTTAACAGCTAACTACCTCTACCCTTGCCCTCACACCCACCCTCAACCAGCAGCCACCAACCACCTTCACCCAAGCAGCGTGTCGCAATCCAAGCAGCTAATTGGTTATTCTACCTCGTCAGCCAAACCTCGATCCCGTTAGGTCATGCCTACAGAGTTTAGTCTTCCTACTCCGGCAGCTATCCAGCTAGTCACTCCTCCACTCCCCTCCCACCACTACCGTGAAAGTTCCCTCCCCAGTACAGCGAAAGACCCGCACCTCACTCTCCGTAGACAAATTCGCGACCGCACTGCCACCTGTCGGCGGTGGAATCTACTAACGCGCACTGTATTGCATTTGTTTCACGCCAGCCGTGATGCTCTGCTCGCAGCCCTACAATCCTTACTCCAGTGGTGAGTCACCCACCCACCCACGGCGTGTGCGTGACCCCCGCACGCACGCCCCCCCCCGCACGCACGCCCCCCCGTCACAGACTATATAACTTCCACGTGTCGTCCTCTCTACTGCTGCTGCTGTT